CTACAACCTCAACAACTCTTGTTTCTTGTGTTTTTGGTTTCAGCTGTTTTGACAGGTAGGAGGTGATATCTCATTGTGGTTTTGATTTGCATTTCCCTGATGATGAGTGATGTTGAGCATCTTCTCATGTGTCTGTTGCCCTCCTGCATGTCTTCTTTGGAGAAATGTCTGTTCATATCTTCTGCCCATTTTTAAAAACTTTTTTTGGGGGGGCGGAGGTGGTGCTAAGTCATATAAATTCTTCATATATTTTGGATACTAACCCTTATTGGCTCTGTGAATTGTAAATATTTCCTCCTATTCAGTAAGTTGCCTTTTATTTTGTTGGTTCTTTATTTTTCTGTGCAGAAGCTTTTAATTTTTGATGTGGTCCCAATAGTTTATTTTTGCTTTTGTTTCCCTTGACTCAGGAGACATATCAAGAAAAAAGGTGCTATGACCGATGTCAAAGAAGTTACTCCCTAAGCTCTCTTCTAGGATTTTTATGATTTCAGGTCTCATATTTAGGCTTTTAATCCATTTTGAGTTTATTTTTGTGTATGGTGTAAGAAAGTGGTCCAGTTTCATTATTTTGCATGTAGTTGTCCAGTTTTCCCAACACCATTTGCTGAAGAGACTTTTCCCCCATTGCATATTCTTGCCTTTTTTGTCATAGATTAATAGACCATATAACTGTGGCTTTATTTCTGGGGTTTCTATTCTATTCTATTGACCTATGAGTCTATTTTTGATTGCTGTTTTGATTACTACAGCTTTTTAGTGTTTCTTGAGATCTGGGAATGTGATACCTCCAGTTTTATTCTTTCTCAAGATTGCTTTGGCTATTTGGGGTCTTTTGGAGTTACATGCAAATTTTAGTATTATTTGTCATAGTTCTGTGAAAAATGCTGTTGGTATTTTGATAGGGATTGTATTAAATGTGTAGATTGCTTTGGGTTGTATGGACATTTTAATATTTGTTCTCCCAATCAATGAGCATAGAAAAATCTTTCCATTTCTTTGTGCTGTTTTCAATTTCTTTCATCGATGTTTTATAGTTTTCAGAGTATAAATCTTCCACCTTTTTGATTAAGTTTATTCCTTGACATTTTATTCTTTTTGGCACAATTGTAAATGGTATTTTTTTTAAACATTTATTTATTTTAGAAAGGGAGAGCATGAGCAGAGGGGAGGGACAGAGAGAGAGGGAGAGAGAGAATCTCAAGTAGGCTGAGAGCCCTGCTGAGCATGGAGCCTGAATAGGACTCAGTCCCACAAACCTGAGATCATGACCTGAGCCAAAATCAAGAGTTGGATGCTTAACCAACTGAGCTACCCATGTGCCCCAGGGATTCTTTTCTTAATTTCACTTACTGCTGCTTCATTATTAGTGTATTGGAATGCAGTAGATTTCTGTACATTGATTTTGTATCCTGTGACACTGCTGAATTCATTTATCGATTCTGTTAAGGTTTGGTGGAGTGATTAGGGTTTTCTATATAAAGTATCATGTCATCTATAAATGTGAAAGTTTTACCTCTTCCTCGCCAATTTGGATGTCTTTTATTTCTTTTTCTTTTCTAATGGCAGTACATTTTACTTTCACATTTGTACTTCATTAGAAAAGGCTGTGAAGTGACATAATGGCATTTATATTTTTTTGGTTTTGGTTTCACATATTAAATTTATAAGTTTTGCCTTTTGAAAATTTATATATGAGTAAGATTTTTTTAAAAAGAATAAGAAGGAAGGAGATAAATCAGAGAAGAGGGAAAGTAAAAGTAGAAGATGAGAAGACCAAGGAAAAAGTTCATTGTCCTCACCCAGGACACCTGTGGTGAGGTCCTGCCCAGTTATTAAGGTTGGACAGGACACAGCCTGGAGTTCCCAATGCTTGAAGAGAATCCCAAGCAGGAGACTCACCTTATAAGTGATTCAGTAAGAGGACCATGAGGCAGTCTTCTTTATGATTCTAACCATTTTATTTTTATTTATTTATTTATTTTAAATATTTTATTTATTTATTTGAGAAGGGAGAGTGAGCAAGAGACAGAGCTAGTGTAGCAGGGGAAAAGGCAGAAGGAGAGAGAGAAGCAGGGCCCTCACTGAGCAAGAAACCCATGATGTGGGGCTCCATCCCAGGACCCTGAGATCATGACCTGAGCCAAGACAGATGCTTCACTGACTGAGCCACCCAAGTGCCCTGATTCTAACCATTTTAAAGCACTTAAACCAATAGCTCATAGTATGTGCTTGAATCAGTGCTGAAGGAAAGCTGCCCATGTACCAGAAATTTATATTAAACATGTGGGGCTTTCATGTGTCCTAGTAGCTAACACACCTTAACAAACTCTAGAGGAGAACTGATTGCACAAATTGGGTTGCTTTTCTGTATGTTTGAGTGCCTTCTCTTCAATTAGACTGCAAGTTTCTTTGGAATTCTATTCTTTTCTTTTCTTTTCTTTCTTTCTTTCTTTCTTTCTTTCTTTCTTTCTTTCTTTCTTTCTTTCTTTCTTTCTTTCTTTTTTTCTTTTTTTCTTTCTAATATATTTTCTATCCCCAGAGAGCCTAGCATAGAACCATGTACCTAGTGAGCCTTTAATAAATGCTGTATGATTGATTTGATCTAATAGGATGACATGGAGAATTTTGGTTTGTTTTCAATAGTGCCTAGTATACAATTATGTGCTATTAGTCACTTTTAATAAAGTTTCTTGCCCTTAAGGAACTCGAGAGCCCACATATTCCTAGAGAGTGGGGATCTAAGGGAAGTAAATAAAATTGGTATGTTTGAAAATGCATTTAGGATTTCACTGAGAGATACGTATTTCTTTAATCCTGGAGGTTATTGAATGAATGGGGGCTTAAGCGGATCTGAAACAGGGCTGTGAGCTGGGAGGAAGCTGGGGTGGGGGGGTAGACGGTAGTGGCCCAGCTCTGCCGCAAAGCGTGTGCCTTCCGTGTCCTTGCCTTAAAATGACATCAGTAGTTCCCAACTGAAATTCTATGGATTAAGGCGCATTGACTACTATTTGATTACATATCTATCTGTCCCCCATGTGCTTTTTATGTGCAACCAGATTTGGGAACTAGGACATTAGATGGGTAGGTGACCTTTCCTTTCTTGACTTAAGAGGGTAAATTTAGAACTGGAAGGAGACGTAGGATTGAATACTCTGATCTGTATGGTGGGAAAAAGCAAAAATGCATGACAACAACCACAAAACACCGTTAGCTAGTCCAAAGATGAAAGGGAAAAATAAACGTTGGCTGGCTAGAGGAAATATCTTCTTTGACAGGATATGAAAGAATTCATCGAGTGTTATTAAACAAGGAAGTCGAAGTTCCAATCGCAGGAACTTAATAAATATTTGTTGATTGACTGATTAATGAGCTAATTCAAGCAAAGAAGGAATTTTGTTACTGTTTTAAAGTAAGGATTTCTAATTGCCCATTCGGGATAAAAATATTTCTTGTGTTTCCCTAAGCAACCCAAACTATCTATTCCATTATTCAAACAAACACCCAAAAGGATTTAATGTATCCTTTGGCAACCAAAGATAAAACTCCACTTAAGCTTCTTTCAAGCAGATATTAGTGGTTATTTAGTTATTTTAGTTATTGAGAAATATTAGGTGATCCATGCCCTGTGTTTGACAAACTAAGTTTGAATTCTGTCCCCACTCCCCACCCCAGGAATTTCAAGCAGAACTTCTCCTTTGAAGGTGGCTTCTTTCCCTACCCCTGGGTGTTTGTCCTGCTGTTAAGTGAAACCCAAAGGATTTGCAAAATAAAAAGGATCCCAGGTTCCCTCATAAGTGCAGCCATCAGAAGAACTATTGATTCTGAAATTGAGCAATTTCCAGTAGTACAACGAATTGGTACATTATAGTCATTAGCCTATGTTTTTTATTCAACACATTCCAAATTATTTTCTATTCAAACATATTCAAAATGCATTTTTATTCAGTGTATTCAAAATGTTCGTTCTTCAAAAAGTATTTCCCAATTAGCCAGTAGTCCCCCTCCCACTCAGTTGTTCCCACCTTTATTCTCAGGGCTGAGAGGCCACTTGAATGTTACTTGCTCTAAGTTGTCCTCATTGGAACCATGCACTCACATTTCATGTATATCGGAATTATGTAAATTTTAAAGACTATTATGTATAAGAGTAATAAAATCTTACTGAATAGGCAGTGTTTATTTATTTATTTTAAAGATTTTATTTATTTATTCATGAGAGATACAGAGAGAGAGGCAGAGACTCAGGCAGAGGGAGAAGCAGGCTCCACACAGGGAGCCCGATGTGGGACTCCATCCCAGGTCTCCAGGATCACTCCCTGAGCCGAAGGGGGCGCTAACCTGCTGAGCCACCCGGGCTGCCCTGGATAGGGAGCATTTATTTTTATTTTTATTTTTTTATTTTTTTCATTTTAAACAAGAAGTTTATTTAAACAACAAGACGCTTGACTTGAAGGGAAAACTATCTAGGATTCATTTCTTTTAGAGTAATTTAACCCTACTTAAAGACAGATTGCCCTACATGTAACAGCTACATACAAAAAAGGTATAGAATTGTCCTTGGTTTTACAATGATAAATGAAAAACATTAAAATTCTCCAATCGAACAAGGTATGCAAGGATTTTTATGTTGTTCTTTTTTTGTTAAACAGTGAGAGCAAAAGAACTTACCGGAATATAAAGATAAGAGCTGACTGAGCATGCCACTAATGGAGAGAAAGGGTGTTTTCACAGAAGCAGTATTTTCCCCCATCCCATCTCCATTTGATGTCGACCAAAACATATCATTGGCCATTTAGTTTAAAAAAATGCAATATGCTCGTGCACATACACAGTTACTTTATGTACAATAAAGGAATGGGGAAGGGGAAAATGAAAGAATAGAGAAAACTATACTGTAGTAGTCAGGATGTGGTGGAACCAAATTACAGCTTTCTATTTGAGGATGTCTTCTTGGTCTGGAGGAACAGAGTTCTGGAGTAAAGTAGCAGGTTCCCTTTTTAGTAGACACCTCCTGTCTGCTGCTGGAACATATCAATTGTATCTTCATCCTCCATTGCCAACTGTGCAGATGTGTCTGTTTCATTGATTGGCTGCCCATCAAATCGGAATCTGATCTGCCTCATTGACAAACCCTGTTCACAATAGGTTTTCATTAGTTTACTAAGTGGTGTATGCCTCTTAATCTTAAACTGCACCACAGAACCATCCTGCCCTGCCACCTTCAAATTAATATGATCGTTGTTCTCAGTCTTCACTCCTTCCATGAGCTTTTGGTAGGCCATGGCGAGTGCTGGAGTCTCCTCAGCTGCTGCTTCACAAAAGAGGTACCAGGTCCGCACGGAACAAGCACACCGGGAGCATTTAATATAGTGCAAATTCCTCCAAATTTATATGATTTCTCCAGAATGCCATAACAGAGCCAGGGCACCAATGTAGTGAAATTTAAGCCACTTTTAATCCCTTGTCTGGTGGCCACTTACATTAGCAGTAAACAGAAACCCCCACAGGGCTTGGTCACCATCATGGTGAACCATGGTGGGAATCTGGGGCACAGACTTTTGTGAGTGATTTTGGTGACAATAATGCTGTTATTTTATCATGCATCTTTTCTGTGCTATGATCATACCATCTAAGCTTTTATAAAGTAGGGGTGCTGAAAATGTGCCATAAATTACTATGAAATGAAGCCAGATGCAGAAAGAAGGCTTGGCAGTGGCCATGATTCTCAGTGCTATTAATTTCGGGAAAGACAGCAAAAGGAATCTTGTTAGGACTTTTTTGGGGGAGGGCGGGGTAAAGATTTTATCCATTTGAGAGAGAGAGAGAGAGAGAGCGTGCACAAGTGGAGAGGGAGAAGCAGACTCCCTGCTGAGTAGGGAGCCTGACTTAGGGCTTGATCCCAGGACTCCAATTTCTTGACCAGAGCTGAAGGCAGTTGCCCAACCCCTGAGTCACCCAGGAGCCCCTATTGCTAGGTCTTTTTTTTTTTTTAAAGCAGCATTAAAACAAAATTATGCCACTATTATTACGGATTTATACACTCTGAGAACACATCTCCTGGCCCATTTGTGATTATAAGAAGGATATGCTTGAATTAGTTTTACATGATGTAGTTCTTCAGGAACCCAGTTGTCTTGTGAATATAGTGTATACTCCCCCTAGATTGCAATCTCTTGAAGAGGAAGCAGAAACCATCTGTTATTTCTATATTCCACACTCCAACCACCTAATAACAATCACAATGGTCACATTGTTGTAGAAGTTGTTTACAAAACAGTTGTCTCAACTCACCCTCCTGATGACCTTGTGAGGTGAGTTTTCTTATTTTCCCCATTTTACAGACCCCCAGAGGTGTAGAAAGAGTCATTGATTTGCTCATGTCAGTCAGCAAGGAGTGGCATTAAGAAAACTTCCAGCTGGATCATGGAACCGGGAACCTATGACCATCCAAATGGACTTGCAACATTTGCCTCAACTCTGAAGTGCTAGGTCAGATTCCTCCTTCTGTGTATAGACATGTTCTAGAGACAGGGAGGATGGAAACCTCTGTTAGTTCACAGGATAAGGAAGGACCAGAGAAAGAGGCAAAACACCCCAGATTGGTAGGTGATTGTTTATATAAGCAAGAGAACTTATTTACAAGGACCATTTTGGGTGGCTACAGGAAGAATAGATCTCTATACTTGGCTACCGGATCTTAAAAGTTTATAGAGAGGCCTTAACTGGGTTCAGTCAAAAATACCATCCAGATGGTCTCAACACCACATCAAGGCTATATGTTCTTGGGGAAATTTCTAGCATGGGGAAGGCAAGCAGAACATGCCAGAGGAGGGGGTGAGGAGTTCATGAACTCTGATTGCCTGAGTTCAGTTTATAGGTCAACCAGTGGTCACATCCTCTCTGTGACCTCCTCCAACACTATCCTTATGTCCCTATGTCCCTCCTACATTATCTGTGGCTGTGGCCCTGTATCTGTTTTCTTAGAAAATTATTTAGTTAAGAAAGCAGTTTCATTTGGGGCTGATTAGTGATCAAGAAGTTTCCCTTGTGTGCCTTGAAGTGTTCAGTGCATGGAAAGGTCTCTCGGGGGAGATGGTAAGGAGAGAGGGGTCACATGCCACATCAGAACAGAACTGTTGTAGCTAAGGGTTCCAGCGAGAATGGCAGAGAAAGTCAGGGGATAGCACTCTGTTTCTCATCCGAACCAACCATGAAATCTTGGACAGGCCCTTTCACCTCCCTGAGCCTTAATTTCTTCATTTACATATTACAGAATAAGAGTAACATTTGTCTAAACTACCTTACAAGATTGTTGTGAATGGTGGGAATATTTTCTTTCTAGTGCATGCCACCTAAGGCAGGGCAGACTCAAGGACTTGATGTGAGCAGGCCAGCAAGAAGCCTCCCCCACTATGCCAACACCGCCCCCATCCACACACTCCCTGGTGAGCATGGGAAGGATTTGGTTGTTAATTTTGAAAAAATAAACTCACCTTTTTGCATTTAGAGGACAAATAACAAAAATGATAGCTGGTTAAAAAAAACTGAAATACATGCTTTATTAGTTTTTACAGGTAGGATGTCTCCTCCCAATCCATAAAATCTATACAATTATCCAGGTATAAGGAGTGAAATCAATTCAAAAGAATTTATTTCAGAAATGTCCAGAATAGGTAATTTAGATGCACTTATGAGAAATTGCCTCTCCTTGCCCTGAAATGTGCCTAGGGTAGAGTTTTGTAAAAACAAATTTGGATAGACTTGTCCTTGCCATCCAGAAAACAGTATGTGGCTGTGCAAGTAACAGAAGGGCAAGTCAGTCAGGCCTGAAAAGGCTCAAAGCTCCTACAAGCACAAAGCCCCGGGGAAGGAAGTGGACAAAAGGCAATAGCACCTTTTGTCCTTTGCCCACTTCACTGCCAGACAGTACCTTGTCCCTTGGTGCCAATGCCAATCCCCTCTTCCACAATGTCTGTAGCATGCTTGGAACTTCATGAGTTTTATATATTTGGGTAATGGTTATACGCAGTGGGATTTTCTCCAGGGAAGGAGAGCAGTAAGTTTTATCTTGTCATCAACGGATTTCAGGCTGCCTGCAGTGTCATGTTGAAAATGAGTCTCATGCAAGATCTGAGAGGGCAAAGAGTAATGAATACCCACTCCGCATAGCTTCATCCCTTCTCTCGGGCCTCATGCTCCCTTGAGATTTTCTTTGCTGGCAGTCTCTGGCAACCAAGCTTCTCTGTTTTGTTCTAGACACACCAGAACTGCAAGCATATATAGAGCACTCTGAGAGAGAAAGAAGAGAGATTTGTTATAGGAATTGACCTATGTGGTTATGGAAACTGAAAAGTTGGTCTGAGAATTGGGGGCCATTTGTGTAAATCTTAGTCTGAGTCCAAAGGCCCAGGAACCAGGAGTACCAGTGTCTGATGGCAGAAGATGGATGTCCCAGCTCAATGAGAGAAAGAGTCTATTTGCCCTTCGTCCAACCTTCTTTTTCTATTAGAGCCCTCAACAGATTAGATGGTGCCCATTATTGAAGGCAATCTTCTTTACTCAGTCTACTTAGTCAAATGCTAATATCCTCTGGAGTTACACTTATAGAAACACCCAGAAGCCTGCCATCTGGGCATTCCTAAGCTCAGTCAAGTTGACATATAAAGTTAGCCATCACTGGTGTGTGAGTCTGTGTATTGAAAACAATGGCCTTCCACTTTATTCATTGTATAAGTTAATTGTGTAAGTGTGGCAGTCACAAAATCCTCAAGTTCTAGACACCACTCCCCCCACTACATACTTTAGTATTCACCATTCTGAGTTTCAGAGAAGAGGCTCAGGGAGGTCACTTGACTTGTCTGGGGCCACCAAGCTAATTAGTAGAAGAACCAAGACTAGAACCATTTCTCTGCACCCCTCTTAGGATGTGGCTCACATGACCTGGTTACTTCTCAACTGGGACAGACCACAAGGATCAGAACTGGGGACTAAGTATACTTAGCAGAATGGGACAGACACCTGGAGAACACACCGGGAGATCTTCGCTAAGAGCGGGTATGGCCTGCTAACAATGAGGTCTCTGAAGGTTGTGGCTACAGAAAGAGGTGGTATAACCAACAGCTATTGGAACCCAAGGACAAGCTGGGAGTGGGTGGTGTTCGGTGCCCTGGTGGTAGGGAGCAGGTCCCAGGCACTGGGCCATTTTCAGGAATAGATGTCTTGCCTCTGGGAGGGCTAGTGGCAACTCAGGGAAACTCAGAAACTCAGTCCCACAGGGACTGAAGTGGTTGGCAAGTGACAACCATGGACATTTAAGCTTAAGAAATAGGGCAGGAACCCAAAGATCAGGTGAACGATGGGGTTCATTTTGGGGAATAAAGAAAGAGCATACAAGGCAGGGGCCAGAAAAGAGTGTCAGTGTTGGGCTAAACTCACTGGGTTGTGACAGGACTGGCCCCAGAGGCCAGATGGAGGTTGAGCCTGCAGATTTGGGGTGTTCAATGAGGATGGTACAGGGACAAAGGTGAGGGCAGCTGACCCAGCAGAATGTTGCCCTGACTTTGAGCCCAGTGCTCTTTTCTATTAAATATTTATCTGTTAGCAGTTCTGCAGAGCTGCAGACTTTTCACCCTTGTACCTAAAAACCACAAATGAAAGAAAGGGTAAAGAGATGAGCTTCAGATCTGCTCCTGCTAGTTTGGGGAAAGCAGTTGTCTTACCCAGATTTGGGGATTGCGTATTAGATAACCCAAGCAAAGGAAGGCCATAGGCCTCAAATAGATTCTTCCAGGGTCAAGCTTCAAGTTCTGCACAGATCATAGGAAAATGGGCACTTAAAAAATGTAGCATGTCACCCTTTTATTTTTATTTTTTTTAAATTTTTATTTATTTATGATAGGCGCACAGTGAGAGAGAGAGAGGCAGAGACACAGGCAGAGGGAGAAGCAGGCTCCATGCACCAGGAGCCCGACGTGGGATTCGATCCCGGGTCTCCAGGATCGCGCCCTGGGCCAAAGGCAGGCACCAAACCGCTGCACCACCCAGGGATCCCAGCATGTCACCCTTTTAAAAGGTCAAGCAGGGCATAACATGTGGGGATTTAATCAGATGATTGTCATGTGTGCTCATTGCTCAAGAAGAGGGGAATTGAGACCCATATCTGAGGCAGGATAGAGGAGGGAGAAGAAAACTGGTCTTGGGGTCAGAAGATCCGGGTTCTGAGCAAGACTCTGTCCTTGCAGTTGCTCCAAGCAATGTCTTCATCTATGACCTGGGGACTAAA